CTACTTATCTATATATATATATAAATACGGCATAGAAACGCGTATACATATATACATACATATAGTATACATATATAAATATGTACACGTAAAGAAACATCCGCATATACACACGTTATACATATGCATATACATGATATAAATAATTGATATAAACGAACATTGAAAGCGTATATTGTGAGACACCGTGCGCCCTGTTGATAATAAATAATCGTAATAGCGGAAAGAAAATAGAGAGTGGATCGAAACGTTTGCCGGTCTTAGTAGATGGGGGAGACGAAAAATGAGAAGAGGTACTTCGTCACTAGATCTCTCGGCACCGAGGCGCCGAGGCTCCGTAGAGTTTCATACTTTTGCAAATAATCGAAATCTTGTCGATACAGTATATAAATATTACATACACATATATATATATATATATATATATACATACATACATGTATATGTGTGTGTGTGTATGTGTATATATACGTATATACATATACGTATATATATGTATACAAATATACATATTATAAATATAAAATTATATAGAGAGCGAATGAGAGAGAGAGAGAGAAAGAAAGGGAGGGAGAGAAAGAGCGGGAGAGAAAGGAAATTTCAAATACTCGTTGATCTGAGTCTGAGTCTAATTAAGTCATGCGCGTGCAGCCGCGGTACGAAGTTTAGTATATGTGTGTGCAGGACGGGATCGCAGAACGTCAATTTCTTCAGGTCAGTATGCTTCCGCACGTCGTTTCCGGTGTCGGTGCACAAAGATCCTCGTTAAAATCAAAGTTGCAAATCAGAACGAGATAAAATTTTTCACTGTGCTTCCTCCTTCTCGGTTAGTTAAATTCTCATAACAACGTCAGTCGATAAGAAAAAAATTTAATATCGTTTTCAGACTTCTTAGTTCTTTACCGCAAATGGGAGTTGAATTTAATAATAATGATAATAATAATAATAATAATAATAATAATAATCGGTATGAAAGTATAGATGTGCTCCGAATTAGCAGAAAGGATCAATTCGCCAGTCTCCCGACGTATCGTCGACACGCGTGCACGCGTCGTCCGGATGTAGCCTCGCGTTGGAAAAACCGAGGAGGATAACGCTTCTTTTTCATGCGAAACGCGCGCGATTAACTGGCGGTGGGATGTCGACGGAACGCGAACGGCAAGAAATACTGATAATACCGTGAATCATTAATTAGTAACAAGAGTTGCCTTAATATTACACATTCACAAAACTAGGATACGCGAAACGCGAAGAAGATTAGAGGAGAAATTAGAGAACAATCGAGGCTTCCTCTCAGGGTCGTATCGTGAAGATCTTCGAGTCGCGTTAGTCTTCATCGAGCACTCGATGAGAACACAAGGAGGTAGCTGGGCGCAACAACTAATCCGTCATATTTGTTTAATTCATACTTTTAATACGAATGCTCGAATTGAAGTTATCCTCTAATTCGTGTGTTACTTGTGTTTCTTAGTTTACACTTCCATTTTATCAGCTCGGAATTGCCATTCGAGCGTTTATAGCAAAATCACCCAGACTTCTAGTATCTTATCCGATGCGTACCGATTTGTTCTGATTTTATACCAGAGACTGTTGCCAATTACAAAACTAATTGCCCAGCTCCATCCGAACGAGATCATCGCGACGTCTGCGCGACGTCGTCGTCGTCATCGTCGTCGTCGTTTCACGGACGATTGTTAGAAATCAAAAGGACAGATCGAGAAAACGAAACGAGGTGAGAAAACACGTAGGAAAGCGAGGAAGAGCAGGAGAGAACGCGAAGAAACGGAAACCCAGAACAGATTGACGAGGCAGTAGGGAACCAGTCACGGCTGGCTGTGTCTGTGTGTGTGTGTGTGTGTGTGTGTGTGTGTGTGTGTGTGTGTGTGTGTGTGTGTGTGTGTGTGTGTGTGTGTGTGTGTGTGTGTGTGTGTGCGTGCGTGCGTGCGTGTGTGTGCATGCTTGCGTGTGGTGCGTGTGAGTGTGCGTGTATCGCGCGCAGATATTTCAACGAATACATACGCGAGAGACGAGCGATTAGACGAAAGGCGAAGATGAACGAAGAAGAAGAGAAGAGAAGACAAGAAGTACGTGGCGTCGCTGCATGTCCGCGAGAGAGAGACTCGTCCTTCGCGTCTCTCGTTCAGCGTTGAAAGCGATCGTTCGTTTCACGTTACAGGTGTCGAGTGTCAGCAATCAGATCACGAGTCGCGACGGGGGCGGACAATTGCAAACGAAAGAAAGAAAACCGACTTGCGAGGCACTCTTGATCCAAGGACGTCCGCGAAGGATCGATTCCGCGACGCGCTCGCTCTTGGAACGCTCGAGCGCGAGACGCGAGAGCGCGAGCCGTGAGCCCGCGCGAGGCGAGTTCGTGACTTTGATAACTGCGTGCCGTTGTTACAAGCATTATGTAAAAAAGACGGAAAAAAGTGAAAAAAATCTCATTGAAAGCTTTAACTTTGAATAAACTAATTTTAAAGAGGGAATATACGCGCGCGCGCTCGACGAACGGAGGACGAAGGAGTCAAGGATATTCGCCCAGACGAACTCGCGTAATCGCCTGCGATACCTTTGCACGAGGAAACTGGCCAATCGCGCGTGTCTAATGTAAAGACATCCTTTCACGAATTACGACTGCTCGATTTTCTTATGCACACGCATAATACATTTCGATTCAACGCGAGTTTGTCCGGACAAGCCTTCAGGCGGTGCACGTTTTGCGAACGCGGAAGCGCGGCGGGTCACGCGGTAGTCCGATGTTTGGCACGCGTGCGATCGTTCGAGGCGCGAATTTCGATCGCTTCTTCGCTCTCTCTCTCTCTCTCTCTCTCTCTCTCTCTCTCTCTCTCTCTCTCTCTCTCTCTCTCTCTCTCTCTCTTGCCCGTCCCGTTGCTTTCCCCCAGTTATACAGTCAGAGGCTGAGAAGACGCGATACTTTTTTCACTTGAATTGATTCCGCGACGCAACTCGCAGCCAACAGGAAAGTATCTTCTGAGAATGACCGAAGAACGAATTCTCCCACTAGATACGAGCTGCGTCGCGAGACACATGGCGGAAAAGTGTCGCAAGCCTAATCCTCCGGCCGACTTCGTCGGAAGAGAATCGACGGGGAAATCAGCGACATGGGGAAAGACTCGCGGTCGGAGAGATCTCGCGGGCGTCGCCGCGTCCGCGTGCGAGACGTCGTGCTTCCCGCCACATTGTAAACTTACTGTATATTACTTATACATACATGTAGAAACATATACATACGCGAGAAACACACTAAACGTTTGTTTTTTCTCTAAGAAGGGATCGGGCGAAAGAGATATTGTACCTTTATACATACTAATATTAATAATTAATAATTCTTGTGCGCTCGCGCGCGTCACGCTGAGCTCGACGCGTGGATATCCGGCCGGTCGCGGAGAGGTCGAGGAACCGCCGGAAGAACCGTTTCTTCTCTCTTCCAGAGCCGCGTCGGGTGTCTCTCCTTCGAGCCCGTCGCGTTCCTCGACGCGAATACGCGAATAAGCGACGGTATCTCCCTTCAGAGAACGGATTCTTCGACGAGTTTGGGATGATTCGCGCGCGCTGGAAATTCCACGACGCGCTCTCAGTCGCGTAATTTAATAATAAAACGATTTAACGCCGACGTGTTTATTTTTACCTCGCGATCGCGCGGCAAACGGATGATTCTTCAGCCGGATTCTTCTCGAATAACTTCGCTCTGCGGGAGATTGCAAGTTCGCGGCGCGAATTGCGGCAGATTGGACTTGCCGGCTGCGTAAATTCGTCGAGGAATCTGTCTGCAGCAGAGCCGCCAGGTGTATTTCGTAATCCGGATTGCGTTCGAGCGTTTACTGATTAATCTACGTCGGAAGGGAAATACGATGCTATCTGTCGGAAATACGATGCGTCGGAACGGAAGTCCACGTGACGACGCGCGCGCGCCACGACTGTGTGTTATTTCTCTTCTTCAGGAAAAATAAGTACGCTGCGCACGTGGAACATAATCTGCCAGTGATCCACGTGTTGCGCTGCGAGAACGAGAGAAAGTGTATGGTAGAGAGAGAGAGAGAGAGAGAGAGAGAGAGAGAGAGAGAGAGAGAGAGAGAGAGAGAGAGAGAGAGAGAGAGAGAGAGAGAGAGAGAGAGAGAGAGAGAGGGAGGGAAAGAAGATGTATTGCGTGTGTGAAGATATATAACGTAATCCTTTAGCCCTTGAAAATACCGACATCTGACAAGTGCAAATGAAGAGAGTGAATGATAGGGGGAACGAAAGAAGAAGGAATGCAAGTGTGTGTAAGAAGAGAAAAAGAGAGAGAAAGATTGTGTGTGAGTGTGTGTGCGTGTGAGAGAAAGAGAGAAAGAGTTACGAGGAGAATACGCAAAGACGTAATTATGCATTATAACTGATGTATTATGCTGTAAACGAGAGAGACGCGAAGAACCTTTCTTATATATAAATATTATATATATAAATAGCTAGTTTAATTTGCAACTTAGTGTGTACCGTCGCTTCGAAAAACAATGCCCAGTCATTACTCGCCAGAATCCAAAAAAAGTAACCCGACGACAATTTCAAGTTCATTCTTTTTTTAAGAAAAAAAACTAAATAAAATAATGTGTTAAAATATTTCGAACGAGTGTTCACTCTGACCGTCCCTGCCTGAGATTTCTTTTTCTACTATTACTGTTAATTACACTTATTTATTTTCTCTCAATTGTTGTTGGAATTGTTGTTCTCTCTGTTGTTGGAAGAACAATATTTTACCGATATGGTAAGTTTAAAAAATATCTCACTCACTACACCGCAGTTCCGTTTAATCGCGAGAAAGTCAGCTTCATTTCATTTTCGTTTTGCAATATTGAATCATCGTCTGATCAATTGTTTTTCATACTTTCGATGAAACACGTCGGTAATTAAAGTGGCAGTGAATAACATTCTCGCGTGATATATCTCACGTGTTCGAATTAAACTTTGACCTAAACGCCATTGCGAACATCGACATTTGTTTCGCAGCGTCCTATTAGGAGTCGCTATTTCGCCATGCCGTTGGAGAAATGGTGTGCGGTGAAATTACGTCGAAAAAGTGCGAAGATAAAATTCGATTCGATGAAAATAATGAACACGCTGTTGCGATGATGTTCGACTGGAAATTTTCCTCCAGGCTTACCGCGATAATGTGAACCTGGCTTTATAAGATGAAACTGCGATATACATAGGTAGTGTAACGTACGCACACACAGCATATCATGTGTAGTAAACGCGGCGCATTAATTGTCTTAGAGGGTTGTGACCGAGCCGGCAAGTCGACCCAGGTGAAGCTGTTGACGAATGCCTTGAATGAGAGATCGATTCCCACAAAGGCGAGCGCTTTTCCCAGTAAGTAACGAATAATTTAATCATCCGTCATATGTTAGGTTATGTTACATTGCATGGGAAATAACTTCGTTGACAGCTTCAAATTGGTGATCGGTGTGAATTCGTTATCTATGTGTACGATATGATTGACATTGCCTTTGCAACGGAGGAAAAGTTCAAAGTTTTGCAATTATAATTCGCATTGTTTCTCTTCTTGCTGCACTTCCTACCACAAGTGTTGCATCAACAGAGGTTATGTTAAATGTGATAGCGCGTGTGCAAATTCAATAAGTTATGTCGCATGATTTAAAAATGATGGGTCATAATTCGGTACAAATAGATTGCGAATAATAATTTTTTCTTTCCATGGCTGTTGAAATTATCTGAATAGAAATAAAACTTGAATGTATAGAAATAAATTCTAAAATTGATAAGATTGAGAAGAGAAGATAGAAAGATTGTCATGTAAATTTTAATAAAGATATATATTTTTTTTACAGATAGGAACACTCCTATTGGAGGCTTGCTAAATGGTTTCTTATCAAAAGAAATAAACATTCCACCTGAGGCAGCTCACTTGTTATTTTCTGCCAATCGATGGGAATGCAAGGAGGACATAGAGAAGATGCTTTTGTCTGGTACTACTTTGGTGATTGACAGGTATGCCAGTTCCGGAACTGCATATACAGCTGCTAACACTGGTAGATGCTTGAATTGGTGCAAACAGCCAGATTTAGGATTGCCAAAACCTGACTGTGTGATGCTACTCAAGGTGTCGAAACATCAGCAAGAGCTGCGCAATAACTGGGGTGAGGAGAGATTCGAACAAAATGATCTTCAAGTGCGTGTCAGTGCTAATTACGAAAAATTAAAGGATGACACATGGATGACAGTGGATGCTGACCAGAATGTATTGACAATACACGGCGAGATATTGAAGAAAGCACTATCAGTCATCCAAGAGGTTCAGTTTCGAAGAATAGAGTTACTGAATAGTTAAATGTATTGACAAATTTGTATTTTTCTACTTTTTGATATATTCTACATTTCTATTACTGAAAAAAATTATATTTTTAAGCGATATATTTCATCTGCTACCTCTATAAGAACTGTTGAAGCCGTTGCTTCTCCGTTAAATACCTGTTTTTATAGCATTAATATTTCTATGATTATGGGCTTTGTACTTATTCATAATATTCTAATTCTAAATCATGTTCTATTTGAAAAAATAGCACATAAATACTAATTAATTAATTAGTAAGAATATAGGGACAAATAAAAAATGTTAAAAGTTGTTAAGAACTGTTGAACAGTTCTTGTGGAAAGTTGTATGAATAAATAAATAAACTCATTTTACTCTATATACAAGATCAAATATTACTATATTAAACAACTTTACTGGCTAGTCAGTGAAAAGCTAGTAGTGGTTTAGCGAGAATTTTTAAGTAACGAGTTTTCTCCCACCTTCACCAAGACTCAAACTTTATTTAGTCGAGATATAAACCTACTGAGCATAAGCACCGACAAGGTAATATAAAGACTGTCAACCCTAAGTAAATTTTCGTATTGACCAAAGGCACCCCAACAGAACTGGAGGTAATTGAAGAACGATGATAATACCGACTGCTATACCTACGCTCAAGATAATACAGCTAGCAACTATTGCCGGTGCGTGGCTAGAGAAAAGACACGCGCCACTATTCGTGATTTGCCTCGTCACACCTCCCGTAAGCCAACAATAGTTGCTAGATCGATTAGGTCGCGCTGGGGCCTGAACGGCTGCGAAGTTTTCCCAATACCTCTTCGGTTATTATGCTTTCCTATTACCAAAACTTGGAAATGCGGAAAACTGAGATTTCTCCGATTTCTCGATTTTCTAACAGGAGAATATAATGAGTGAGGAAGTTGTTCGAATACCTCTTCGGTTATTATGCTTTCCTAATACCAAAACTCGAAAATGCGGAAAACTAAAATTCTCCAATTTCTCGGTTTTGTGACAGGAGAATATAATGATTGAGGAAGTCGTTCGAATACCTTTTCGGTTATTATGCTTCCCTATACCAAAACTGAAAAATGCGGAAAACTGAAATTCTCCAATTTCTCGATATTCTAACAGGAGAATACAATGAGTGAGGAAGTTGTTCGAATACCTCTTCGGTTATTATGCTTTCCTAATACAAAAACTTGAAAATGCGAAAAACTGAAATTCTCCAATTTCTCGATTTTCTAACAGGATAATATAATGAGTGAAGAAGTCGCTCGAATACCTCTTCGGTTATTATGCTTCTCTATTACGAAAACTCAAAAATGCGGAAAACTGAAATTCTCCAGTTTCTCGATTTTCTAACAGGAGAATATAATGAGTGAGGAAGTCGTTCGAATACCTCTTCGGTTATTATACTTCCCTATTACCAAAACTCGAAAATGCGGAAAACTGAAATTCTACAATTTCTCGATTTTATCACAGGAGAATATAATGAGTGAGGAACTTGCTCGGATACCTCTTCGGTTATTATGCTTCTCTATTACCAAAACTCGAAAATGCGGAAAACTGAAATTCTCCAATTTCTCGATTTTCTAACAGGAGAATATAATGAGTGAGGAAGTCGTTCGAATACCTCTTCGGTTATTATGCTATCCTAATACCAAAACTTGAAAATGCGGAAAACTGAGATTTCTCCGATTTCTCGATTATCTAACAGAAGAATATAATGAGTGAGGAAGTTGTTCGAATACCTCTTCGGTTATTATGCTTCCCTATTACCAAAACTCGAAAATGCAGAAAACTGAGATTTCTCCGATTTCTCGATTTTGTAACAGGAGAATATAATGAGTGAGGAAGCCGTCCGAATACCTCTTCGGTTATTATGCTTCCCTATTACCAAAAGTCGAAAATGCGGAAAACTGAAATTCTATAATTTCTCGATTTTCTAACAGGAGAATATAATGAGTGAGGAACTTGCTCGAATACCTCTTCGGTTATTATGCTTCCCTATTACCAAAACTCGAAAATGCGGAAATCTGAAATTCTCCAATTTCTCGATTTTGTGACAGGAGAATATAATGAGTGAGGAAGTCGTTCGAATACCTCTTCGGTTATTATGCTTCCCTATTACCAAAACTCGAAAATGCGGAAAACTGAAATTCTCCAATTTCTCGATATTCTAACAGGAGAATATAATGAGTGAGGAAGATGTTCGAATACCTTTTCGGTTATTATGCTTTCCTAATACCAAAACTTGAAAATGCGGAAAACTGAAATTCTCCAATTTCTCGATTTTCTAACAGGAGAATATAATGAGCGAGGAAGTCGTTCGAATGCCTCTTCGGTTATTATATTTCCCTATTACCAAAACTCGAAAATGCGGAAAACTGAGATTCTATAATTTCTCGATTTTTAACAGGAGAATATAATGAGTGAGGAACTTGCTCGAATATCTCTTCGGTTATTATGCTTCCCTATTACCAAAACTCGAAAATGCGAAAATCTGAAATTCTCCAATTTCTCGATTTTGTAACAGAAGGATATAATGAATGAAGAAGACGCTCGAATACCTCTTCGATTATTATGCTTCTCTATTACCAAAACTCAAAAATGCGGAAAACTGAAATTCCCCAATTTCTCGATTTTCTAACAGGAGAATATAATGAGTGAGGAAGTCGTTCCAATACCTCTTCGGTTATTATGCTTTCCTTATACCAAAACTTGGAAATGCGGAAAACTGAGATTTCTCCGATTTCTCGATTTTCTAACAGGAGAATATAATGAGTGAGGAAGTCGTTCGAATACCTCTTCGGTTATTATACTTCCCTATTACCAAAACTCGAAAATGCGGAAAACTGAAATTCTCCAATTTCTCGATTTTCTAACAGGAGAATATAATGAGCGAGGAAGTCGTTCGAATACCTCTTCGGTTATTATGCTTTCCTAATACCAAAACTTGAAAATGCGGAAAACTGAGATTTCTCCGATTTCTCGATTTTCTAACAGGAGAATATAATGAATGAGGAAGTTGTTCGAATACCTCTTCGGTTATTATGCTTCCCTATTACCAAAACTCGAAAATGCGGAAAACTGAAATTCTCCAATTTCTCGATTTTTAACAGGAGAATATAATGAATGAAGAAGACGCTCGAATACCTCTTCGATTATTATGCTTCTCTATTACGAAAACTCAAAAATGCGGAAAACTGAGATATCTCTGATTTCTCGGTTTTCTAACTGGAGAATATAATGAGTGATGAACTTGCTCGAATACCTTTTCGGTTATTATGCTTCCCTATTACCAAAACTCGAAAATGCGGAAATCTGAAATTCTCCAATTTCTCGATTTTGTAACAGGAGAATATAATGAGTGCGGAAGTCGTTCCAATACCTCTTCGGTTATTATGCTTTCCTTATACCAAAACTTGGAAGTGCGGAAAACTGAGATTTCTCCGATTTCTCGATTTTCTAACAGGAGAATATAATGAGTGAGGAAGTTGTTCGAATACCTCTTCGGTTATTATGCTTCCCTATTACCAAAACTCGAAAATGCGGAAAACTGAAATTCTCCAAATTCTCGATTTTCTAACAGGAGAATATAATGAGCGAGGAAGTCGTTCGAATACCTCTTCGGTTATTATACTTCCTTATTACCAAAACCCGAAAATGCGGAAAACTGAAATTCTCCAATTTCTCGATTTTCTAACAGGAGAATATAATGAGTGAGGAAGTCGTTCGAATACCTCTTCGGTTATTATGCTTTCCTAATACCAAAACTTGAAAATGCGGAAAACTGAGATTTCTCCGATTTCTCGATTTTCTAACAGGAGAATATAATGAGTGAGGAAGTTGTTCGAATACCTCTTCGGTTATTATGCTTCCCTATTACCAAAACTCGAAAATGCGGAAAACTGAAATTCTCCAATTTCTCGATTTTTAACAGGAGAATATAATGAATGAAGAAGACGCTCGAATACCTCTTCGATTATTATGCTTCTCTATTACGAAAACTCAAAAATGCGGAAAACTGAGATATCTCTGATTTCTCGGTTTTCTAACTGGAGAATATAATGAGTGATGAACTTGCTCGAATACCTTTTCGGTTATTATGCTTCCCTATTACCAAAACTCGAAAATGCGGAAATCTGAAATTCTCCAATTTCTCGATTTTGTAACAGGAGAATATAATGAGTGAGGAAGTCGTTCCAATACCTCTTCGGTTATTATGCTTTCCTTATACCAAAACTTGGAAATGCGGAAAACTGAGATTTCTCCGATTTCTCGATTTTCTAACAGGAGAATATAATGAGTGAGGAAGTTGTTCGAATACCTCTTCGGTTATTATGCTTCCCTATTACCAAAACTCGAAAATGCGGAAAACTGAAATTCTCCAATTTCTCGATTTTCTAACAGGAGAATATAATGAGCGAGGAAGTCGTTCGAATACCTCTTCGGTTATTATACTTCCCTATTACCAAAACTCGAAAATGCGGAAAACTGAAATTCTCCAATTTCTCGATTTTCTAACAGGAGAATATAATGAGTGAGGAAGTTGTTCGAATACCTCTTCGGTTATTATGCTTCCCTATTACCAAAACTCGAAAATGCGGAAAACTGAGATTTCTCCGATTTCTCGATTTTGTAACAGAAGGATATAATGAATGAAGAAGACGCTCGAATACCTCTTCGATTATTATGCTTCTCTATTACCAAAACTCAAAAATGCGGAAAACTGAAATTCCCCAATTTCTCGATTTTCTAACAGGAGAATATGATGAGTGAGGAAGTCGTTCCAATACCTCTTCGGTTATTATGCTTCCCTATTACCAAAACTCGAAAATGCGGAAAACTGAAATTCTCCAATTTCTCGATTTTCTAACAGGAGAATATAATGAGTGAGGAAGTTGTTCGAATAACTCTTCGGTTATTATGCTTCCCTATTACCAAAACTCGAAAATGCGGAAAACTGAGATTTCTCCGATTTCTCGATTTTCTAACAGGAGAATATAATGAGTGAGGAAGTTGTTCGAATACCTCTTCGGTTATTATGCTTCCCTATTACCAAAACTCGAAAATGCGGAAAACTGAAATTCTCCAATTTCTCGATTTTCTAACAGGAGAATATAATGAGTGAGGAAGTTGTTCGAATAACTCTTCGGTTATTATGCTTCCCTATTACCAAAACTCGAAAATGCGGAAAACTGAGATTTCTCCGATTTCTCGATTTTGTAACAGAAGGATATAATGAATGAAGAAGACGCTCGAATACCTC